ACACTGTCCCCATGGCACGAGCCAGTGTCTCCACAGTGCGTCTCCTGCAGTCACCGCCTGGCCTGCGGCACCTTCTCCCCTGCAAGGCCTCCCCATGCATTCCCCTGAGACCAGAGGCCCCCACTGTACCCTGAGGCCTGCGGCCCCGTTACCACTGCCACCTGCTGCCCTCCATTTCTGCTCTCGTGTCCCCGCCTCAGGGGACGCTCACTTGGCTGATGCGGACCTGCCATGACCTGCTTCCTGCCTTCTCGCTCTTTGTCCCTTGCTGCTGATTTGAAGGGTCGTGGAGCCCCTGGGTTCCTGGGCTGCTGGGCGTGACTATTGACGATCTAACCTGTGGATGGCAGTTGCTGTGATATTCACAGTGACGCTGCTCAGGGCTCCTCTGCAAGAGGCCAGTGTGGCCCAGGGAATCCGCAATGAGCTTCTAGAAGGGCTTCAGGTGTAACTGACAGGGAGCATTGAGAGTCTCAGGCACACAGCACGCTGCTCTGATGCATTTCCTTCATTCACAGTCATCCCTGCGCTGCCTAAGGATGGTGACCCTCTGAGAAATAGGTGCTTCTGCGCCTTTGATGTTGTGTGAACATCAAGAGCCCTGACACCCAGATGGTCTACCTCACTCCTTGGCGGGGGTTGCTCCGGGGCTGAGCATGGACCCACGGACCAGGAGGTCCCAGTTTGATGCCCTGTGAGGTTCATGCAGGGGTTTCTGGATCTAACCCCTTAGGCGGCTTGCAGGAGTCAGCCAATCCATGTTCCCATCTCTCTTTCTCTCCCTTTACTCTCTCTAATAATCAATAAAAGCCTTTTTAAAACAAAAAACCCCAGCTCTCCTGATGCGCACAGTGTGACAGGAAGGACAGAGAATGATGAGAACACGCACAGCAGTGACTCACATGGGCTGTGCTCCCGGCATCTGTGGTGGGGGAACCAGCAATCCCACAGGGTCATGTTACAGAGAATATCAGGTAGGAACTGGGTTTTCAGCGAGTTGCTTCTTACACCTGCATGTTTTTTACACGGTTGGCCCTCTCATTTGGCTGATGGGATGGATAAAACCCTGTTACACAGTGTGGAAGGTGCTATGTATAGAGGTGCCACTTGGGTTTCTAGTTCATCACTGAAATGTAGACACAGGGTTCTGCTCACACTTGGGTGTAACATGAGCTTTGCCATCTTGGGGTCCATCTCTGCTGCCATGGACACTGTCCCCCTGGCCCAAGCCGGTGTCTCCATGGTGTGTCCCTCACAGAGTCACCCCCTGGCCTGTGGCGCGTTCTCCCCTGCAAGGCCTCCCCGTGCGATCCCCTGAGACCAGAGCCCCTCCCAGCACCCTGATGCTGGTGGCCCTGTTACCACTGCCACCTGCTGCCCTCCATTTCTGCTCTCTGTGTCCCTG